TGAATTCTATATTATGGATTCGTATAGCTAGAAGAGCTTCTGGTCTATGATTGGGATCTTTCTGGATATCTTTTTTCGATTTTGACCTCAGAACTCCCAAATTTGCCCTACTCAATATTGAGAAAATAACTAGCTAACTTATAAAAAGCTTATATATATTATTAGAATAACTTTTCTTTAATTTAATTAATAAATTATAAACGAACACTTTAATGTTTTCTCTAATATTTTTTATTAGATGAAAACTAATCATCTAATAATTAATATTTTTATTAATAATCTTACTTCTTTAAGTGATTATCTATAAAAATTATTTATAGCATTATTCAATGATATACTGCTAAGTTTTTTATAGCTAAATAATTACGAAAAATAGTATACTTTATTTTTCAAAATCAAGAAGACATTAATATTTTTAAAAAATACTTTGTGAATTCTATGAAATATCTATATTTACTAAAGTAAATATATATACTTTTAAAAAAGTATGCTATATTGCTTTTAGTTATATTTACAAAAATTTATCAAGCGTGTGATTAGAATTCTTTAATTATTAAATCTTCATCTAATAATATTAATACATATAAACTTTCTTCATTAAGTTATGAAATAACTAATCATCATCTTTTAAGAGTTTTCTTTACTTTTAAAAAACTCAATACTACTATTCTATATAATTAAATATATTATAATTGCAATTATTATGATGATAACATTTTAACATATGATTATAATTATCATAATATTTGTTTATAAAAAAGTAATTTAATACTTAATATATTTAGATTATCTTCAGAAAGAAATTAAAAATAATGTTAATATATTGATAATAAATTAAATAAAAGAATAAAAGAGGAAAAGGTTGAAAAGAAACCATTAATGAAAATATTAAAGATATGAAAGATAATGATTTAAGTAATATAAAATAAGTAATGCTTAATATTGCAATAACAGAGAATTTATTAAAACACATAATGATATTATTTTTTTAGACTATAAATTTTATTTTATATAAAAAATTGATAATAATAATAATTATTACATTGAGTTAATCAGCTAATAATTTTAAGTTTATTTAATTTGATTAATTCTGGCTAGAAATTAAGCATAAAGTGACCGAAATTACCAAATTTAGCATTTGTGTAAACAGAATTTGATTGGCTATATAATATGTAACAATATCGAAATTTTATAATTTGATTGGTCAGTTTTATGTGACAACTTCGAAATTTTGTGTAATCTGAACGGTCTCTCCTGGACATTTAAAGTTAATAATAAACTTACTTTTCTATAGTCACATCATATTACTTTTTTATAATCACACCAAATTTATTTGGTCCCGAAGGTGTGACTATATAGGAGGTCGACTGTTTTTATAAAGATGGTTCCCATAATTTACTTTCAAATTTCTGAAATAGCATAATTGTTTAAATAAAATCTAACTTAATAAATAATACTTTAAAAATTAAGGTTCTTTAACTCATGACTCGACTAATTAGAATCTCTATCTGAAGTTTTGATAAAACTATGAATTTTTACAATTATAATTTACTAATTAAAAAAAGAAATTTTTCAGAAATTATCCGAAAATATTTTTGTAATTCTTTTCCTCCAATTTTTTTATTCAAATTGTACCGCGCTACTAAAATGCTGGTTCATATAGTGACATGAATTTTTCTTCAACAATCCCATTATGATGCTGATAAATTGGTGCTCTCAGATTGAATTTTTTCCCTCCAGTATTTTCCTTTATAACAAACGGCAATTAAGCAAAATATTCCAATAATATTAAGACCAACCATAATGGTAAAGACCCAACCATTACCAACAGCATGTTCGAACGGTACAGCAACAAAAGACATTATCGCAGCTGCAATTGACCTAATACAATTATTTACTGCAATTGCTGATGCACTTTTACCTGGAAATGCATCAACTAAATATGTAGCAGTTGAACTAAATATAATTAAAACAGTAATACCTCCTAGAGAATATAAAGATTATTGATTTTTTAATTAATCCAATAAATAAATAAAAAAAAAATAAATAAATCACGTACCGATAAAAAGAGAGATAAGAGGAAAAGCGATATGTAAATTGGCTTGAACAAACCATCCGTAAGCTGTATAAGAAATTGTAAGAAAAAAAGTACTAAACCAAACGCTATGAATTCTCATTTCAGGATAAGAAATATCATTATTTTTTCTTTTAGCTTTAGCTAAAACAAAATCTGTCCATCTCCCTCCTATTAAGCTTCCAATCAAATATCCTGCACCAGGAGCAAGAAATGCTAGACCAATGTATGATGTTGAAAGATTATATTGTTTTGAAAGTGTTCTTGGTACCAATGTATTTTGTAAATATATTATTCCAAAAATAATACTTATACTTATAATTATAAGGAACATATTAGGATATTTAAGTAAAGTTAATGGCAATAATGGATTAAATTTTCTTCGACGTGGTAGAGTGGAAGTTGTAGGGGTTGGAAGATTTTGCGATTGTGGTTGACGTGCAAATGTTTCGGGAAGCAAAAAGAAAATCAAAACGATTATAACACCTCCAAGAATTGTAAGAAACCAAAAGATCCATCTCCATCCGAAAGAATCCGCTAAATAACCTCCAAACACTGGCCCGATGACCGGTCCGATTAACGGTCCTATGTAAAAAATTCCATATGCGCGTCCTCGTTCTTTTTTTTTTATTTTTTATTTTTTTTATAAAATAAAATTTAATAAACTTTGATTTAATTAAATTTTATCTTACACAATCAAAGATAGATTACCAAAAACGTGAAAAATATCACTTATAGAACCAGCTCCTATGCTTTGAACTGAAGAAGCACCACATGCTTGAATTGCACGCATTGTTAGCAATAACCAAATATTTTTTGACATGGCACACATAACACTTCCAACAATATACAAAATAAACGAGGCCAAGTAAACGTTACGTCTTGTTTCAAATGCGTCAGAATAGGATGCCCAGGCTAACGGCTGCGCTACAACAAACAAATCAATTATTCGGTCGTTCTTTTTATATATATTTATATCCGTAATGTACTCTCTTACCGCTATTCCCATAAAGAAAATGAAAACTCCAACTGTTTTTTTAATTTAAATTTTTAAAATAAGTGATCAAATAGACATAAATAAAAATACGATAATTTCTCTTACTCATTCCGTTGGCAAGTGTTTCGCTAGTATTTAAATCATTTTCTAATTCAGCAATTGCCGGATAAATTATTCTAGTAATTTAAATAAAAGTTTTTTTATTTTAAATTTCCTCGTGAATTCATGGATTATATTTTACATACGTGCTTGACATTGGAGCCATCATTCCGGCTAAAGCAACGATGAATAAAATCAAATATTTTTTTCTTCTTGGCCAACTTTTTGGGTCTATATCAATCTTTGTTTTTCCAGCCATAACAGGTGAAGAAATAGATAAATTATCGTTGCTATCGGTTTCATTTGAATTCACATTCATTTTTTCGTTTCGAATTATATTTTTTCAAATTTTACGATTTTACTGCTGTGGTTTATATATGTGGACCTTTGCAATAGAAAAAGGTCAAATTTATCATTAACTCTTTTTCTTTTTTCCGGAGTTTCCCCCTTTTCTCCCATATATATATATTTTTTTTTTGCCATGACATAATCGTCAAAAATTACCCGAGTCGGTAGTCGAAAACAATGCCAAACGAACTTATAATTATTCGACACTAAAACCTGCAAAACAATAATGACTCTTTATCCGATCTTATTACTCATAAATACGTTTATTTGTATTAGTTAATCAACAAAAGAAGTTATTACGAAAAAGGTAGTGATGTGCTGTGGAAGCACTTTTGGAAGCTTCCAATTTTTATACCATTGGGAAGCATAGAATTGGAAGCATAGAATGCACATCACTGTTAAAAAGGGTAAGTAACAAATCATTATTAATCAAGATTGCTTTCATTGGTCCGGTTTTACAGTTTTATTACTATAATTAAAGCGAAAAATAAAACATTAAATACATTTTAATGCATGGACTAATATTATCAAAGCGAACGGTTCTACGATCGATCACTGTGTATATAACATTTTGTAATACTAAAAACGTTCCCATTACACATGAATTTTTTGAGATATAGATATAGATTGGATTTAGATTTAGATTTAAATATAATTATAAATATAGATTTTCAATACTTTTTTAGCATTTCTTTTATATTAATTACTTCACAAAAAAATGTATTTGCATAATTAAATATAATTATTATCATTTAAGAAATACTATTAATATTTACTGTATACTGTATTAATAAAAAAATAAGTTTTTTTTTATTCCTTTAATGGTAAATATATAAATATTGTAAATTGTAATATTTTAACATTAGCAGACAAAAAAAACTCTTTATGTCAATTACCAAAACCAAAAATGATCAACAAAAAAACAGAAGGAATAATAGTAACAAGTTTACAAAACTTGCTTTACTTTGCTAGCAAATAATCAACAACAATGGCCTGTTAAGAAACAGTTTATTAAAACATTTTACAACCAGAAACTTTTACTTCAAATGAAAGTTTTCCAAAAAACATGATTGATAATATAAAAGTTAAGTTAATTCCCATCTTTTTAAATAAAGAAAAGATTTCTAAAACTACTAATAGCATTGATAAAGCTTTTTTAGATAAAGACCAAGCTTATGATACCTTTGAAAATAGTTTTAATAATGACAAAAATAAAAAAGTATATCTACCTTAAGCAAAATACTGAAGCTTTAATTTACTTTGCCAACTACATTACAAATATTTTCTATTTAAAAAAATGAATTAAGAAAAATAAAATAAAGCATATAATATTTTTATATTCTATTATGCATCCTTATTAATACATTTGTAAATGTAAATAATCATTTTAAAAATTTAATTTACTTCTCATATGAAAGCTAATAACACAATTATACTTTAATTATTATATTTAGATAATGTTATATTTTACTTCTTATAAATAAATTTATTATAAAATATATTTTAGAGCTGTCAATCTAACTTACAAAAATTCTGATTTTAATTATAATCAAATATTAGATCAATCTTTTTCTTTTTAGAAAGATTGTCTATTATATTATATCAACAAAAAATTTATAATAAAAGCAACATTTACCTTTAAACAAGATACTGATATAATAATTAAATAGTTACTTTATCTTTAAATATCTTATTTGTATTTACCCATATATAATGACTATTAAAGATATTAGAAAAAATTTACATTTTTTTAAACTCATCAATTTTCCTTTTAATATCAATGAATAATACTTGATCTATTAGTAGTATTAACAAAATAATCATTTATATACAGAGGTAGTCACGAAGTATCTGAACAATTAAAAAAATATTTGAATTTACTTATTATATTAACTTTTTTTAGAATAAAACAAAAAATTTATTTGTTCTGAATATTTTCTACATATTTTATTAAAAAAAATAAAAACTAATACTTTGTTGAATCATCTTCAGCTGCTATACATGCTTAAATTTAATAAGGCATATTTTTAACTAAATTTTGAATATACTCAAGTAGAATTAAACACTAAGCATATTTTACCTTACACTCTAAATCTTTTATATTTTTAGGTTGATTAGATAAGTTACGTACTTTTTTATTAACTTCATTTCAAAGATTTTCAATAAAATTTAAATCAGAATTTTATGTAGATTAGGGTAGCATAAAAATCTTAGAGGTACTATGAATATTAGTGATAATCTTTTTTCAATAAAGTAAGATATTATCCTCTTGAAAAATTTCTTGTTTGCAAGGAACTAATTTATAAATTGAAGGAATAGCTTACTTTTGTAATACTTTTGTATATCTTTGTCCTTACAGATTTGCAAAAAAGAACAAGAGGTCTCAGCCTATATCACAAAATGCATTCTTAAAATATTAAGCTAGGACTATGCTTTATTGTAGCAGTTAAATAAGAAAGGTCAAATTCTTCTTCTGGTATACATCACATATGTAACTATGACCTTATGAAAATTAGTTAAATGTTGATTTATTAGACTATACGATTTTCTTCTATTTTACAATTATCTAATCTTCTCATTCTAATGCTCAAACCAATCCTTTTTCTTTATTATTTTCAGAAATTAATAGTTTAGAGTAAGTAATATACGAATATAAGCTGACTTTTTTAAGATTCTAACAAATTGTAACAGTTAAAACTTTCTTTTTTTAGTCCATAATTCTTGAATTTTTTTTTCTATTAATATACGATAGCTTAAAGTCTGCTAGAAGAATACCTATTGATAGAGTTCCGAATGAGTCGAGTCGAGTCGAGTTTAAAGACCAACTCTATTCAACTCGTTTTTTTCAAGTCGAGTCGAGTCAAATTTATTTTATAAAATTTTTCGATTTGATTTGATTCGAGTTATATAA